TGTCCATCAAACATTTTGGATTGTGTCCAGCTTGCTAAAAAGAATGGTGTCATGGCAATAAGATGAAGGCCCCTGTGCCGACACAGGCAGAAAGCCAAAATTTTCCACGTAGATTTCCCTGCCTCTTAGGTTGTATTAAGAATGACTGGCCCTGTTGCTGATTTGGATTACCTTATGGGTACTGCAGAACAAACAACATAAAGTATGCAGTTGGCGAGACATTTGGAGAGGTGAGATAACCAGCTCTTTGAAATCCTGCAACGTAAAATATCAACTGGGGTCATATATCCAGAAACTTGACTGTTAGGTCTTTGCCAAACAGCAGTGAAAGAACAAGTCAGAATATCTGAAATGCATTACTCTCCAAATGATGTTGAGACTGATCCCAGAATAACATGCTTATTTGTATGAATAGAAATGAACTCGTCTGAACGTGGTATCACTGAGCCATGAATCAGCGAGCAAGCGTCTCTCAAGCGTTTATAGCATGGTGCTTATAGACTGTAAGATACAGTCATCTTAAAATCTAATGGTACTTTGGTTTTATCTTTCTGAATCAAGGAAAGGCTTTTCTGTTCTCCCTTTTGTCCCAGCCTCAGCACAGTCTTATTACATGATTTGGCCACAATCATGTTTTGCAATGCCAAATCTGTTTGTTCTTGAACACAGGGTGAAATGTGACATTGCATCTTTTCTTCAACATGTTACTTTTGGATATACTGCCCTTCGTTTGACTTTTTTTCAGGAAAGTTTTGCATGATTATAATGGAATTATTTTTGAGATTATTAGGTCTACAATTTCTAATACATTGGGATTTAAAACACAAGTCTCTAGAATTTTCTACCCTTATGACTACACTATTTCCAAGAAAAGGACCTTGTCAACTGGGAGCATGATATAAAGGGAGCTTTTATATTTGCATAGAAATTGTTTGATAGCAAAGTCTGCAAGGTTTCTCTTTGAACTCAAGTATGCAGATTTAATAGAATTAAACAAAATACTCTAAAGATGACAGAAAATCATGGTACTTGAGACAGGTTTAAAAATTGTTTTCCTCTTCCTTTACCTTGATCCTGGGCAGAATTTTTAAAGCATATTTAACTTGTGGGTTAGGTTGTCATTTCATAAACTCAGTTATTACTCAGTATCCTTTCTTTAAATAGATTTGTCTATTTCAATTCATGGCATGTGCTGTCTCTGTGGGACTCTATGGAAAAAATGTACAGTCATTTATCTTTGTTATTTTCTGCAGGATTTGGAAGGAATAATCGTATTAGCTCAGCAGATTTAAAAATAATAATAGTTCTAAAACACCCCACATGAGCTGTTAATTGGAATAATATGCACTAAAGATAAACCAAGCATTTTTTTAATACGGATCCCAGTCTCTCAACAAACTGAATAAGAAACTGTGGCTCTTGCATCCACTTCATTTTTACTTCATGAGTATAAAAAAGAAAGTATTAATTCAGTTTAATTATACTCTAATCAAAGTTATTATTCAGCACCACCTTTGATTTTCCTAATTAAACAAGCCAAGCATAATTTCTTTTTCAGATACTTTTAAAAAATCTTGACCTTTCCCTTTGCTGTCCCATTTTAAAAAATTAATATCCAGTTGTGTGTGCATGTACACAATAAATGAAGAATACAGATCTTGAACCTTTGAGTAGATCTGAAAGAAGGTCTTGCCAAATTTTCCTGTACCAATGTTACTTTAATTTACATCACAGATGCTATAGTGGATGTAATACTGTGGTTGTTTGGTTCAATACTTCTAAAAAAGGAAGGTCAAGATCTGTACACAACATGATAAGCATTTCTGTCTGCCTATTATTATTTGCACAATTACTGTGACTGCTTGGGGAAATCTATGTTTGGCTGACTACCTAGTCATTACCTTGGAGAATGATCTGATTTTAGGAATACTCAGGCATAGAGATAATTTGTCTTTTCTTCTCCCATTTGCCTCATCCTTTAAAATGACACATCTTATGACAGTGTAAGGAAATATGTAAGAAGTACCTTTATCTGAACATAGAAAGGCATGATTTATTAAAAAGAACAAGAAAGGTTAATCTTAATGTAATTTTTGGTCTGGAAACTAAGCCTACTAAAGAAGGTGGTAATTGAGACATAAATTTAAAATCTTTCAGTCTATTACATTCTAAAGAACGAAAATTAGAGATTAACCTTAAACATATTGTATTTCTTAACAGTATGTTTTCATGTAAGTTTTTAATGAGAATTTTTATTTCTTTAGTAGAAATTAAAAAGCTTTCATAGTTAAAGCTAGACAAAATTTCCAAATACGAATGGAAATATTTACATCTATTCAACTCCATACGGGCAACTTTGGGCAGAAGAAAAAGTTAATAAAATGAAATAGAAGCTAAATCGTAAAAACAGTAATTTGACTTGCATCAAATGTGACTTCTACTATTTCCCCCCAAAATACATCAAACTCTTTTTCGGCATTGTTATCAGAAAAAAGACCACCTCAGAATTTTAAAATTAAATACTATATTTCCACTATGTACTGGTACTTACTGAAACTATAGAACAATGTTCTGGAAAAATGAAATTCATCTCAATTCTGTAGGGTATCCTCTCATATTACAACTATAATAATAACAACAATGGAACAATAATGCTTGTGGGCAAGATCCATGCTCTTGGCAAGTTATTCCACATTCTTGATTTATACTGGATTTATCCCCAGTTTGAGATTTCAGTGAGGAAATGGCTGAGTTTTTCTGGTACAGAAATTTGCACTGAACTTTTCACAGTTGTCTTACCTACATGAAATATGACGTTTAAACTAACAAATATATATGTTTAAACACAAAACTTATTTTATTCAAGTTCCCCTGCATCCTGCAGTTCCCTTAGGGTGTCCTGCATCACTTCATTTTTTTTTTCTTCTCTGTGGTCACTACCAAACAGTAGTAAACTGTAGCTGGGTGATGGGGAGCGCTGATACTCCATCTGAAAGGAGAAGTGATGATGCATGGGAAGGAGTAACAGAGACGCACCTGGCCTTCTACATACTTGTTGTATTGTTCTAAGAGCACTTCGATAACTATTTTAATAATGATTACTAAATAAAGCAGAGTTCTCTGGGGCAGAATCTATCAGTGCCCCTAAATCCGTTTAATTGCTAAGCCCCCCGAACTTCTCGCAGAGTAAAGTTAAGTACATGCATGAGTATCTTGTTATGCCAGGCTTCACATGTTAGGTAACGCACAACAGGCAAAAACGTAAACCTGCAGCTCCACACCGACTGGCCATCATATGACCAAGTGAAAGGAAGGCAGCGGTCCAGGGCTGCACGGTTAGTAAAGCATTCACGGAACTCAATTTGAGAGACAAGTCTTTAACAGCATGTAGCATAAGAAGCAGACGGTCCCTGTCGTTAAGTTTAGTATGTCAGTAATTGCTCTTCATAACTTGCCTGCTAGGTAGCTGAGCACGTATTATCATCAACATTTGGGGCTGGGAGAATGGGGGTGAGAGTAAGAAAAGTATGCAACTTTATCGAGGAAACCAAAGGAAGCCAGGGATTGCAGCTGTGATTAGATGTGAATTCACAACTCCTGGGCTTGTGCTGCTAGACAGTGCTTATGGTGATACAGGCTATCACTTTCATGATGTGTTTATTTACAAATTACAGCCAAGCATACTGTAAATCACCTGAAACCCTGCAGTGTGCATACAGACCATCAGCTTGACCAGTTGCTCTTGCAACTTTCGTCTATTACCACTCTGCACGCATTGTCCCTGTTTGTGGTTATGACCGCTTTTTATGGTATACCTTAAATTAATATAGTCTCCCAGTGGCAGACACTGCCTCTTACATGCGGCACAAATCTTGCAGGCAGAGAGTTAGCAATAGTTCGCTAAAATCAGTCTTGGCATACCTGGTTAAAACACTTATTGACTTCAATAATAGCTGCACTTTCCAATCGTGCTGCACAGTGTTACCATGGTCTGGTAACTATGTTCCAGTTCCACTTTGGTCCAACAGTTTCAGCCTCTTCAAACAAATATTTTATATTAATCCCCTCTTTTCCGATCCTAGAGCCACTTACCACTGAACTAGCAACTCTCCTGCTGTATTCAAACTAATGCGCAGACCTCCAAGTGCAAAGCCTTAAAATCCTTTCCACCAGTCCTATATAGTGGAAAGAGGTGTAAGCGCTGGAAGATGAGGAATTCCCTGATCTATTTAACAGGCAGGAGGGTAAAAGGAAGAACTAAAAACTGGCCTCTGACATCAAAAGTTCCTCTAACTACTCATTTCCTTTTCTGGTCTTATTTGTTTGACAGTAAATCATTAAAGAAAATTGAAAAGGTCTCAGATTTTTTCATATAGGGGCGTTTGGGGTTTTGTGTGTTGTATTTTGTGTGAAAATCTCTGGGCTCTACCACAGAGAAAACATAACAGCACAGACTTGTAGAGAAATGTATATGTAAGTTATAAATAGGGTGTAAGTTCTCTGAGACCAGACATAAACGCTAAAAGAAACATCAGTGTAGACTTTTCTCAGCCCCCAACTCCCTATTAAAATCATCAAACTTCCCTCAAGAAATCAAGGAAAACAAAGCACTGAAAGAAAGGAAGGAAGAAAGCAAAGCAGTCAAGGCCTTTGCTTTAAAATTTCATTGCAATTCAGATTTGATGACTTAGCACTGCTGTGCAAAGTAGCATTTTTCAGTCTTATTTTTTCTTGCAGAATTACATCATTACCTCAGAGCAGTTTTAAAGGACACTGAGGATGACATATTCCAGCTGAAAATGAACCGAGCTGATATGACTGACCATTCAGTCACTATAGAAGGAAAATACATTTTCAGTTTTACGTAAAGGAAGTTTTTTTTCTTTCCTTCAGAATCCTTTCCTCTTCCCCATGCTGTGCACTTGCACGTACCGGGTGCATGTACCCTTACATTTGCACATGAGAGCAGATCCAGGAGATGCACTTTGATGCCAACCTACCATTCTGATGCCGTTCTCAAAGGCCTGACGTGCTAGAGAAGCTGGTCCGTCCACAGTCTTACCATCGTCATCAGGCCCCCAGCTGGCACTGTAGATGTGGATGTGCTGGGGATTCAGGCTTAGAGACTTTGCTTCTACCATGTCTGTCACATCTCCATCCAGCATCCGTACACCTTCGGAATGAAAGATACAATGAACAGGACCAACCAACCCACAATGCTTCTGGTTTTGTTTTTGCTCTTTGTTTTTTTTTTTTCTTTCCCAGAGAAAACTGTTGTGTAGGACAACGTACTGAATGATCATAAGGATTTCTACTGTTGTTAAAAAAAGAAATAAATCCTGTTTGGATATGTGTTTTTCTAATGGAAAAAATCTCAGATGAAAAAATACAAAAAAGGAAGGAATATTCTGGTCTTTCTGCAAGTTTTAAGAGTTATCTACAAATTGTTTATCCACTATACAGCCTTCAAACTTCAACAACAAACTTTTACTCTAAAGAAAACTTAAAAAAAGATTTTAAATGTTTGCATGTGTCACTTGAAGGTAATACATGATTTTCTTTCTCCTTTTATACTGCAGTGAAACTGCAGCACCTAATTTGAGTCGTTCACACTCCTAAGTATATTGACAGATGTAAGAAAAGGCTCTCTGCTGACAAACATGGGATTATTCCTTCATTGTCTGAGGCTGCAAAGAAGAAACTGTGGAGAAAGCTCCTGTATAGAAACTGATTACCATACAGAGCAGCAAGGCAATTACAGAAGCTACTAACAAATACCCTATATGTAACATTATTCAACCTGAAACTACAATACTGTGAACATCCCCTCTAAAGTGAATGACATAATGTTTTAGTATCACTAGACTGAATAAAGTAGGCTTAAATCTGGAAACTGAGAAAATCTTAAAGCTGTTCTTTTGAAGCTAATTCTGAGAAAACTGCTGATGCCAGTTTTAATCTAAACAAGAAAACGGACCTACGTACAGCTAGCGTGACATCAGATCAAAGGGATGTTAAATATGAAATAATAGTCAGCATGTAACTATATGATAGTCAGAGTAATGATTTCTTCCACAACTAACAAGTTTTATGCTCTTTCCCCTTTAAAAGGCCACTGCTATTTATAAGCCAAATTTACATATTTTTAATTACAGACACATTTCATTTTGCTTATAAGCTCAGAATGTAGTAACTTGAGTGTTTACCAAGACCTTAACATCCAATTAACAAAAGGCATAGGGGGTGCTTTGTTGATAGAGGGTCTTTTTTTTTCCTTACCCTAATTGACTTAAAAATGAAAACTGATCATATTTCTAAGTTCACTCAAAAGCTGCCCATGTTTTGTGAGATAATAAACTTTTACAAACAGTGATCTCACTATGAACTTTACTTTATAAAAAAAGTCATTAAACCAACTCTGGGATTCTCAGGTTTTATTTTCCTTCCTCAGCATAATCTCAGAAAATTAATGATGGGTGGAAGTTGTGTTCTCAATTTCTTTCAAGCACATTAAAATATATTTAGTACTAAATAAAGACAATAAAAGGTACACTGCTTTTGAAAGAAGGAAAATAAAGCTTCCCTTTATGTTACTGTGTAGCAAGCTTGAATAATACTACATGCACCCGGTGAACAGTAACTCCAAATTCTGCCATTGGCACCTGAAATAACTCACACTGGGGTTTTTTGCTAATGGTGAAGTGGTCAAATCTACAGCAACACAGACAAGGATGCGAGTTAGGTGTTGCTCTCTCTGGCCAACAACTGACAGACATGCGTCAAGGGTGACTTTGAACAACAGACGTCTCATTGGCTATTCGAAACAAAAATAATTCCTTTCTCTCTTTCTTTCTTTCTTTTTCCCCAAATGTCTGGAGTAGTTAATTCTGGCGATCACAAAACCTTCAAAATGCATTTGGCATGTGGTGATAGCACAACAAAAGCTGTCCAGAAGGCAATTAACAGACTGTATTTGCAGACTGTTCCACCTAAGACCTTAGAGCTCTGTAAATTTTTTCCAATGTTTGCAGTAATTGCCAAAACGTGTCATTTTAGTCAGAAAAAATTTTCAAAGAATCACAGGAAACATGCAAAACTGAGCTGAAAGTAAGTTTATTTTAAAATGTTTGTTTTTAATCATCATCTGACTTAAACTTAAAGAAACAGCTGAACTAATTGCTCGTCAGCTGAAGACAATGTGCATCTGTTGCACCATAACTCAGTGTAACTGTTTTCCTGTCAGGACTCGAGCCCAGCCAAGTAACTAAGCACCCAAATCCCCGCAGATGCTTCGCAACTTCTACAACCAGTCCGCAACAATAACAACACGCTAACCATCCCTTCCTATAAAAAGTCTCACAAGCTCTGTAGGTGGTAATTTGCTATGTGTGATTACTGCAGGGAGTCACATTAAAAAGACAGATCTACCCCTTTGGTGCACTGGTTTATCTTTCAGTGAAAGGGTCTGTAGCTTAGGTAAGCACAAACTGCAGGCATAGTGCATAATTTTTTACAAGAAACATCCCACGACCTGTAAAAGAACGGAAGGTCCAGATTGCCATTTTACTCAAATTTTTTTATCTGCAGGTTACATTCCCACTTACACCATTGTAAGAGAAATCTCAGACTTTCTAAGTATCTTATTTTTGACCTATTTGTGGTGAGAGGTTCTTAAATGTGTGGAAAAGGAAACAAGGAGTACAAACACATTTAGAAAAAAGGTGAGCATTACTGGTGGATATCTTATTAATGACTTCCCATCACAAAGATCATTAATCAGATTTGTTCAGCTGCCAGTATTTGATGGAATATTGAGAGAAAGAGTTTCTTTTCCACTTTGCTTCATCTCCTTGCTTTATACCTTATGTATACTACAGATGCTTTTTGGTTTGAAATAAAGAGTACTTATCTCGGTGAAGCAAATTCAGCGTCACTGTCAGCAGGTGCTCGTCTCTGTAAGAAGAATGTAATTGCTTTACCTCCACTCCAATTTCTTCTCCAAGAAGGCCCAAGGAGGGTCTTTAAAACCCTGGGAAACAAGCAAGCTGAACACTAGTTCAGCATAATACGATTCATCTATCTGGCCTGTGCAGAGGGAACACAACCACTGCATATTCACAGGTGTAGCTTATGGCTTTTCTGAAGAAAGGGAGAGAGGCATGCCAAATAGAGGTCAGCAGCAGCGAAACTCTTAAATATATACACATACTGGAAAGGGAAGCTTAACTTCCCTTCCCAATACCCTGGAATTCCCTCTTGCCTCTGACTTTCTGCAGATTATCTGCTCAGCCTCCTGAAGTTTTATTTTCAAGTGCCAATGCTTCTAAAAGCTGGTGCATTACCTCAAGTGATGTTTACACACTGTTACTACTTTTCAGCTTTCTTTTAAGAACGGTGTTAATGATGGCTCTACAGAATCACGGTGACAAACAGAGTGGATAAAATTTTTATTTTGCTCAGACCAGTGAAACTTCCTGAAGGCTGTTATATTCTTTGTGCAAAATAAATAAATAAATAATGAAACGGCACATGTATCCAGTCTTTACTGTTCATATTAACTGTGTTCATACTATGTCTATCTGAATCAGTTCTTACGCTATATTTAGAAAAGGTTGTGATTCAGCTAATATGCCTGGAGGGTTTCTAAAACGTTATTACTGCACATTCCTAATGCTTAATAAATAATAACCTATTAAGAAGTCACTGTTACTAATGGCAAACTTTTCAAGGACATACCCAAGCTGTTACAGGTTGTGTGACTATCCAACTCACAAATGCAACTTCTCCTGAAAGTCATCTTCTATCTCTGTCAGTGCACTAACTCCTCTGACTCTGGTTTGACAATGCTCTGATTTCATAGCTGCTGGTACATGACCAAATGCCATGTCCACAAGGAGACAATCTGTTCATCTGCCATAAACTCACTCACTTGGCCAGTTCAGATTTTCTAAACCATGCTGACAGGGTAACTTTGTGCAAGCAGGACCTCCACCTGAAGGGAAATTGTTTTTCTGTCATCCACCTTATGCTGGATGACATATTGTCTATCCTCCTGAAGCCAGCAGGAAAACAGAAAGCTGACATTAGGATGACGTTGTGTGCTTTGGCTAATTTGAAATGCAGCTGTGCTCACATTTGATTTGGATCAAACTTGTACTGATCCAGACGAGAACAGATAGAGTACTATTAATTATGGAAATATGGCCTCAACTCTGCCCGGTCATATTTTTGAACTGTCCTCTGGCATATATATAGGTAAACATGTTTCTGTTTCCACAGATGGGCTCTGTTTTGGGACAGAAAATCAACAACTAATGAGTTTGAGCTATAGGTCTTCCTACTGAAAGCCAGTATACCAATCCCATGATTCCATCAAAAGTACTGTGTAAAATTTCAGTTGAAGCATTAAAATCTGGCACAGACAGGCTACAGCCTAGGAGACATGCAGATGACATCTTGATAATCATCTCTACAAATTAAGCCAAAGGTCTGAATTGAGCAGTCATTGACTAAGAATTCATAGAAGCCACTTGGAACCTCTTGGCTGATGAACAAAAAAGTGCAACTGAATCCTGTATTTCAGGCAATAATCTGATCATGCAGAGGGATCAAAAGAAGATTCTCTCCAACCACAGCCAAACAACATAAAATGTTTTATGTTTTGACACTGTTTTGTTTGGGATCAATATGCAAGGCAATATTCCTGATGTGTACATTTACTTGTGGTTTGTCAAAGACAATCACTTAGACCTCTGAATCTGCGAGAAAACCCAAATGTCCTAAGGTTTTGTGTTTTCATCAAAGGTCTCGCTTTCTATTTTTCTGTGTGTACTGAGAGGCACTGTTCCGGAGAGCACTGGAGAAGTGTTACCACAGACAAACTCCTTCAGTACTGGTATTTAATGACCACTCTACAACTGAGATTTACTTATTAACACAGCTAGGTTTGTTATCCATACAAATCTCCTTCTCTTGTTGAGAAAGGTCTGAATGTACAATTTAGCACAAATGGCTCTTTGGTTACTTTTTTTTTTTGGTGGGAGATTGTTTCACATACCTCCAATCTTGGCATTAAAGGCGATTCCTACTGTGCAGTGTGAGTTGTTTGCCGTGGCTGCCACTTCTCCAGCACAACGGGTTCCATGCCTGCAGTCAGACAAACATTTTTCCAAGTAAGCACAGACTGTTGGGATTAAAGGATTTGACTTTGCTTATCCTCAGGTGCTAAGAACACAACTATCCACAATGTCTTGCACTACTTAATCCCCCGTAGTAATATATACTCATGTTACAATATTCCCACAAACACATTTTAACATCATTATCACAATCATATTAAACTCTTCATGGTAAGCTTTCTAGCTACTGCAAACATGCACAGTTTGTACCAAAGACATACAATGATGATATGTAATCCGCAGCAACAGAAAGAAGTTGTTGATTTTGAACCAAATCTTACATTATAGACAGAATTTTTGTCCTTCATTCTCCCAAAACCACTCATGTTGCTAGTATGTAGATCCTCACACCACCTCCAGCAGGCACAGCACTTTGCTATGAGAAAGATGAGATTGCACCACTGCTCACCCTGCTGTTTAGAGCCAAGCCTAAGACTGGCTATAGGCCAGGTATGCTCAAAGCTTCTGTATGGGCATGTCCTGGTCGTGCCTTGGGCCAACCCTGAAAGCCTGCTGTCTTTCCAGGAGCAGAAAAAACAGCTGAAGTAACCTCCACATCAGAGGTATACCCTCTGCCTGGAAGCAGAGCTTGGACTGCAAGGGTATAATCTGAAGAAGCTGCTGAAGGAAAACACAAAACCTCCAGTGGTTGCTCACCTCTTTCCCCACTGTGCAAAGTCACAGTGGGATGCCTTGCCTAGCCCTGACCCATGCTCTCTACAAGGTGACAGTGGTCATCCCTATGGTCATCATGGTAGGAAAGCTGTCCCTGCTGATATAGGTTTCACAGCATGTTTTCTACTGGTAGGTTTTGCCCTCATCCTTGTGCAGTTAAGTGAAATGTGGCACAAGCAACAAGGAGCAGACACGGAACTTTAGAGAGCTGCTGTGGATACGAGATACTGACTTTCAGACCAGACAGGAAAAGAGATGGGGAGTTGATGAGATGGAGATAGAAAGATAATGTAAGGCTTGGGTAGCCACAAAGAAAGAAGTTTAAAAAGTCAAGGCAAAAAATAGATAACAACATGGCAAGCACTTCAGAGGAGGCTAAGTGAGGTCAGTTGTGTACACAGGCATTCTTCTGCTGCTGGTGGTTGACAGACTGCTTACATAGACATCTGGAGAACATGGGTGTTTTTGAATTGAAGTTGACGCCCATATTACAGACAAGAATCACAGTTGCTTTCTCTTGGACAGCTTGTTTTGGGTAGAGTCACTCCTTATTTCTTTATTATTAGTGCAACTTTTTTTTTTCCCCTTAACCTTTTGAGACATTTAGATGAGAAACACTGATAAGGTGGTTGGAATGGATTAATGTAAAACAAGAACAACAACAAATAGGACTAGGAAAAAAGAGAGGAAACAAAAAATAAGTGATGGAAGTGATTAATGCTAACCTATTAGTTTTTCAAAGGAGATCATTCCGTTTATCAGATAAGTAAGATACCTATAATCTATGAGAAAAGTGTAATCTTTATGCACAAAATCAAAGTGACAAGTTGGATGCTAATAAATCCTCATTTCCTATTAATCTGTTTGCAGTTCATTTGGTTGCCAAACTTGATCAGAAAATTTTTCAAGAGTCAATTAGAAGTTTATTTTTCATATGAAGCTTAATTTTCTTCATTTGAAGAAAGACTATCTAACTCTAATTGATAAACCAATGTCTTATGCTACTACAGAATTATTTTGAAAAGCCTGAAGTAAGTAATTCAGGAATCACAGATGAAAGCAAGTTTTAAAAAGATCCTTCTTCATTTTCAAGTATTTTCAAATAGTGTTCTAGCGCTGTGTTTGTTTGAAGCACTGTCTTTTAAAAATGTATTAATATTTACAGGAAAATGTCTGTCTTAAGAATTATTTACAATACACATGATTCCCAAACTCCCCTTCTTCTCATCATGATTTTGTTAGGTACCACATATAAGTTTAAAGGCATTATCACTCACACATCAAAGCACAGATGATTACACTCCAGGAATGTAGGTGTAACATACCCGCACGCATCACCTCAGTGCATGTAATTTATTAACACGTCACTGTCTGCCTGGTGAAATGTGTGTGGCTGAGCTGCAGCCGCAGCTTCCCAGAGGGAGTCTGCATTGGCAAGAAACCCCTCCTGGGTACCAAGGCTGGGAAGCAGTGGTGGAAAGAAAGTTTTTCAGTAGAGGAAGGGGACAGATAGAAACCACACCTGGAGGAGGGAGGCTGCCTGAAGAAGCATGGAAGAAACAGCTCAAGTTTCTCCGCGGTTCCCAGCGGAGTATAGGGATACCTACTACTTTTTTAGTTACGTCCACCGAGCACTATCAAAAGAGTTAGATTTCCAGTGGGTCACCAAACGCACCCTGGTCCACTCCAGGGCCACATTATGTTTGTAGAGGGGCAACAGAGGGGACATGTTGGGGGATCACAGTGTGACTGCAGCTCCCAGCAGCAACCCACAGTAACACAGGATTAACAGCAGCGTGAAACTGTACTCTAAAATCCAGCCCAAGTGGAAGCAGCTGCAAGGGTACATGTAACTTCAGTAAGAAGTAGCCGAGGATTTAAAGGACCCTGGTACGGAAGTATCATGACACATATTTATTAAATTAAAGCAAAGTAAGAAATTTCATGTAAATTTCTCATAGAAAAAAGCATATTCCAGACAGAATTAGACCTTCAGAGAGTTTTACATGTGAGTTAAATTAACTTTGCTGAATATTTCACTAGTCCTCATGCACTGGAGAATCCTTCTTTTTATCATATTTCAAGTCCATTAACGGCATAACTTTATTCTGTAAGCAGATTTTTATGTTAGACTCTTGCTTCTCTACCAAGATTACTGTTAATTGCATTCTACATTTATAATGGAAATGACAAAATTGAACGTTGTTTTATTCATTTCAAGGTCATATGTATAAAATGGCACTTCTTACAATCAGTTTCCCACTGTGTATGTGAATTAATCATATATGCAACTCGATTTGTTTTATTATGTTATCTTTTATGGGTCCTTTAAGTAATATTTCAATTATGCTGTGAAATGGAAGACTTTCTAAAAAATCTGCATATTAAAAATTATGTGCTTTCCACACTGCTTTTTATTTTCTCTGTCCTAGATTTTTGCTTGAGGTCTACAGTCTGGAACAGACTAATTCTGCAGTTAAAATTAGAAAAGACTTCTGATTAATCATTACACTAATTTCTAGCTAACTTGATAAACAAATACGATGAAACTGATGCCTGAAATTGGGTGTCTGCTTTAAAGCTATGCAAACTTCTACTGAGCATGAAATTCTGAAAACTTCAAACTACAAACAGTTTATGGAGCAGCATAACCAGTAACAAGAGGTGAGACAAGAAGCACTTTCAAGTTAGCATTTTTTGTGAATGTATATATATCAAAACACAACAATCTCCTGTCTTTGTGGGATGCCTGCATCACATACAACTTGTTTAAAAAGTTGATGCAGTCCTAGAACAAAGCATGACTGCCCTTCTACAAAGGCCTATCTTGATAAACTTTAAGGGTCAATGCTTCATTTCACTGGCTCCTTTGCCAGCTTATGTTGAAGGGAAATAAGTTCCCAGGCTATTAAATGGCACTTTGAAGAGACACTCAGCTAAGAGGTTTTGCACTTGTCCTTTGTGTTAATGTCAGTGTGATGTAGTATCACAGAATAGGACATGAAAGCAAGCTTGGTTATGAGACATTCTGCCCATCTACAAATGTCTCCTACCTGGAGTCTAATAAGAAGGAAAAGGAATGGAAAGAAGAGAAGCTTTTTTGTTGTTGTTTGTTTGTCTCATAAGGAGAGACATGAAAAATGAGTATTCAAAGACAGATTTAGGCTCAAAAGGCCATCAGGTGAAAGAAATAAGATGTCACAGGCTTTATCTTAAAAAAAAAAAATTGTACTTAGATGCTTATAAAGCTGGCCAGCACTTTCCACCATAAAACCATCTTTTATGATTCTGCCTACCTTTAACTGCTTTATGCACTTTTTCATTCCAGGCAAATAAGTACAATTTTTTTCAGAAACTTATTTATTTTCATTTTTGTATGTGAGAGAGGCAGAATACAAAGAACAAAGAAAATATGCAGGCAATTAAGAGAAATTTTCTTCTCTTTCTATAAGGAAGAAATTTGTCAGTCTGTGATTAACAACACGTCAGTAAGGTGTCAAAGACCTACTCAGGAAGACCTTAGTAAAGATTTTTCTTTTTTTGCCTTATGATGCCCTCATTGTTGTATAAAGAACTTGAAACAAACTGTTGAAGAAATACACATGCATGAAAAGGTGAATGTCAGTTTCTTCTGCCGCATGCATGAACAGTGCTTGAGCACCTGGATGCTGAAGGTACAGTCTTTTGATGGCTCTCTAAGTATAAGATAAAAGAAATTTTAAGAGCAACATGCTAATCTGTTACACAAAGTAACCTTCTTCAGTAACAGGTTTTTTTCTGAGATGGAAATGGCTCAGCATTTTAGGCAATGATGGAAAGAGAAAAGGTGCCTGTTATGTGATTAACTATCACTCCCCGTCCCACCAACATAATTTAAACATAAAACATTTGTCTTTCAGTAGTCACTCTTTAATTTGCCTTTCAGAAAAGGAAGAAGGTATAAGGCACTAGAACATCTTTAAGATAAAAGTTAATTAAGCTCGCCTCTGAACATTTAGAGTAAGGAAATATTCAGAGTTGAAGACAGCTGCTGGTAATTTGCAAAGCCCTGCCATGTAAATTGGCTCTGCATTTCACAGCCTCCATCCCTGACAGCTATTCTTTGAATTCCACAAACACTCTGACCATGCATTTCTTTGTCGTATTTTAATTCTTCCGGAGTTCATCAAGTATTTCAGAACACAAAAAGCTCAGGGGACTGGAGGATTTAAAGCCCTCAAGCTTTTCATGACACTAACATTACAGTCCAACCCACTTCAACCTGTCACCAGTGAGTCTTTTCAGAATGGGAAT